GTTTTTTTTTTGTTTTTTTTTACACCAATCAACAGTTAAATAAATGATGAAATTTATCCTTTAATTAAAATTAATCCAATCAAAATAAGGATGATGAAATTTCAACGAAATTATCATACGATCAGCTGCTTATTTTGATTCTTTTTAGTTCACTAATTATTTAGGAAAAATAATTGAAATTGGAAGATAATTTTCTTTTTCTTTTTTTGGAAAAAGAAATAAAACTAGAAACTGATATGAATTAATATCAGAAGGGGTTTTATGGAAATTGTAGTAATTTTAATAGTTGAGAACATGAGTCAATTGAAGCTAGATGACCATGGAAGATTTGGAAACACTGGATGACTGTTTCGTTTTATTGTGAGACTTCTCAGTAGTGCACATCCACGATCCCATTTCGCGAGATTCCAACTCTCGCATGCGAGCACTTAATCATTAGACCAATGAGCCAACCGGCATCCAACGGTGTTGATGTCTAACTTCAACTAATCCACGAAATTGAGTGACACATTTACCATTGTCATCAGTGATTAACACAAAAAATATCGCGAGCTACCTACAACTTATGTTGTCAAGACTGAACTGAACTATTGGAAGAAAATAGTTTCTAACGAGAATTTACATGTTAGAACAAATTAGTAGGTTCATGAATTATATGATATCAAAAGGATGCGTGTTTCGTCTTATTTGGGATTCGTCAGCTGGATGTACCTGCATCCTAGAATTGATGGTTTCGATTCCCTGAGTGAAAATCAACTCTGATATGCAGGTATATCCAGTTGACGCGTCCTAAATAGGACGAAACGCTCGTCAAACTGGATTCCACTGCTATCCACTATCCATCTTTGCTTAAAAAGCTTGTGACCCTAGGCTACATCGAGGTAATCCGCACAGAATGCATGTATGCCAACAAGAGTCTGTTCAATTACAGTCCTAAATAACAATATGAAAATACAAATAGACAACACCAAATGAATTTAGAGGTTCTTGTTGTTTTGTTGCCATATTCATTACATTATAATCTATAGCTCTTCCACTGTGTTTGTTATAACAAATGGAATGCGCTTGTTCAATTGAGTTTTGAACTAGCTTATTTGCTTTTTTTATATACACTTCTATTGATATTAAATAACCAAGACGCTCTATAATCAAAATTTTATCATTGTATCGAATTTACGATTGCTCTTCTTTATGAAAGACGAATTCTGTGTAATGTTGTGATGGTCAACAGTATATTACAAAACGGGAAGTGTAATCATTTTATATTGTTCTTTATTGAGTGATGCTGAGAATTATACTATTAAAAGATTACAAAATATTTAATATCAGAAGGGGTTTTGTGGAGATTGTAGTAATTTCAATGGTTAAGATCATGAATCAGTTGAAGCTAGACCACTATGGAAAACCTGGAAGCACTAGACGGCCGTTTCATCCTATTGTGGGACTCCTGGTCCTGGGTTCGAATCTCGCAAAGGGCGAGGTCGTGGATTCGCACTGCTGAGGAGTCCCACAATAGGACGAATCGGCCGTCCAGTGCTCCCAGGTTTTCCATGGTGGTCTAGCTTCAACTGACTCATGACCTTAACCAAAGAAAAAATTTTTCTCAATGAAAAATCAAAGTATCTAGTTTCATAAAAGCAGGTGAATAGGTTCATTGAACAGGTTAATAAAGGTTTTATGGCCTTATATCAAATGTGTATCAATGATCGGTGATTGTAGAATAGGTACTATTGGACTATATAGAATGTTTGTTGTACTAGTAAGATTTCCTTTTATATTGTCACTCTCGTGCTCTAGATTAATATACATTTTCTTCTGTACACTAATCATATTTTGGTTCTCCTTGATTTGGTTAACACTTCTTTTGATAATTCGTAGAAAACGACTAGTAAATTAAGTTTGAGACATTAAAGTTATTCTTCCATAGTGTCCCTTTATACATATTTTGGAGTCAATGGAGTTTATAAGAACGCAGATTTACAGACTCTTCATCCGCTCATCTCATGTAGATTGTCTATCGATAAATCTCTGTTTTATTATTCCTACTTCTTAGTAAAACGTCCAGAAATAATATCTCAGATGCCAATCCTATTTTATGCAGTTAAGTGCATGGATATTTCATTTAAGAACACTTCTATAAACCTGAAGAAACACCACCCAACATTGACTCCGTAAAAGAAAAACGATGAATTACTGTAGGGTTTTTATTTTGTATGCATCTAAATGTGCATTCTATATACAGTTTTGTTCTATTTCTGATTAACGCGTTTTCATAAATACTTTTGCGGTTATGATTTCGTTTTATATCTTCTCTACGACAGTTGATCATCAGGGTTAAGATTATCTTTTACTTCGCAGAATAATCTCGACCAAATGGTTAAAGGCTTCGATACTCGAAAAAAAATAATATAACAGTAAATCATAACCAAAGATTTTGCTTTCTGGATAAAGTTTTTCCATGTTGACCTTAACAACACTTCCACTCCTGTTTCTGAAAGTTATATACTTTGTTGTGGGATTTTATAAAGCTCTAAGGGGATGAAAATACTTTACCGAAGTTAAAGTAACCATCTTGTATTTATAGAATTTAAATAATTTATTTCGTTTCTTAAACAAGATTTCCTAAGTAAGTCACCTGATTATCAGCTACATATCTCGTGTGAACACACTACTGTAGCGAATTCGAAGATGTCAGATAAGAAACAAAACAAACGAACAAATAAGATGAGAGTAAGAGTTTGGTAAGAAATTCTCACTGAGAACTATGTTCGTATATGTGATATGGATTTATTGAATGAATGGAAAAATGCTAGATATTGCATATATATTAAAGGTTGAGAAGTGGATGAGGTAAAATCTCACCGAGACATCTATCCCTCTTTATTTCGTTCAAATATTTTATAGAACAGCTGAAAATATTTTATATATGAATTGATGCGTTGGATGTATCTTAAGTGCTGCGATATTCATGTTGTTTTACGCTAATAAGAGCGGAAACAAAAGGGTGACTATCAAGAAGGTACATAATAATAAAATTTATCATTGAAAGGGGTAATAACACTTCATTATGTAAAATATATCGAAGACGATCTTCGTATGACGAAGAATGTGATGAAGGGTTGGCATAGATGCTTCAACCAACTTTGTATTGTCACTTATCCATGTATATCGAGATTTATCGATATTCTGTTAAAAGAACAGAATCTAAATGAACTGAAAATTGAACAGTTCGTTTCACAAATCTAGCAACGGTACAGTAAAAAAGATTTTATAGTGAGTTGTCATTACTTATCATTCTGGTCTGAGAAGATTGTAGAAACATATCGACACTAGAATATCTACGTAGAATGACACATTAAGCTTTGATTTTTAAATAATAGGCATGTTTTAACATTTAAAACCTATTTTAAGTGAGATTCATCAAACATTTCTCAAGCATTTTCGCAATATCGTTTTAGCTAGACTATCCTCTAACTGTCCTAATTAAACATACAAGATAACATAACCAAGGTCATAAAAATAGTGATTTGTTACCGAATTCAAAGAATCACAATGTTATTTAAAACTAGACACTTCATTAGATGTTTAGAAAACATTGTTTTTCTTTTACTTGTCGTAGGGTTTAAGTTATTTGCTTAGAATACTTCTCTTAAACCATACTGTTAAACGATATATTTATTATTCGATTTACCTATGAAAATAGATTCCCTTGGATTTTGGTTTTCTTTGTTGATAACAAGTAAAGGAAGAAAGTACTTCTGGTAAGACTATAATTTATGGACAACCTTTGAGCAACACTGAAGTGACCTTGATAATAGATACCTACTGATTAGGACAAAATGAGGGTTATAAAGCAGTTAGAATTCTCATTTACAGTTGATGGTTAGGGTTAAAAATTAGATTTAGGTTTCACATCACGAACTGACATCAGCTATAATGCCAAAACTCTATTTAAGGCTACAATTAAACGCAACTTGATTTCGTGATCGTGACAGCCTGCTTATCGACCAATCAGAATGAAGCGGGAATTGTTATATCCACCATCATTGTTAACAATGGCGGTCGGCTTTCTTCGTTCTGTGTTTTTTTTCAGCTAATTTAATGTTTCACTGTGCTAAAATATCGCAGTTAATGTAATACTCTAAATGTTGACGCAAATTTTCTTTGATTCAACTTTGTTTTCCGGGTTTTTTGCTTCTGCTGCTACTCAAGTCAATGTATTTCTTCAGATAAGCTCGCTAGTCTTATGTTATAAAATGTTAATCCGTTTAATTTTGAGTATTGATTTTCAGATATTGAGAACCGAAATTTGTTTTTGTTTTTACCTAAAATAAGTGTTTCTGCCGTATGGGACTCAAACTGTTCGCATATTCGTATAGATAAATTTCGCGCCAAAATTCATGACTCATTATCTTATATCTGATTGGTTCGTTCATAGTCTCGCCTTTCTGGTTTTTTTTCTATTCCTTTATTTGTCAAAAGTCAGGTTAAAATAACACAAAAAAAATTGTTTACTTATCAATTCTGGCGAAATTCTTACCATAAGACCATGTGATAATAAACAAATAATAATAATAATAATAACAATAATAGTTTGTCAAGTTACGGATAACGTTGTTTACCATTTTGTACATCCCTCTATACATATATATATATATGGAAGTTGAAAGTTCAATTAATATTATATTGTAATCTGATTGGTTAACTTTTCAAAATGTCGGGATGTATAGCCGTATATATATTGAAAAGGATCAAGGTTTTTTTGGTTTTGTTTTTAAAAAGCACTTCGACAATAAAAAAAAATAACAACGAACATTATACATATATATACACACACACACATCATTAATTTATTTGCAAGTTTATAAAAAAAATTTTTGTTGTTTTTGTTGTTGTTGTCAACTGAACTAAATTAAACAATGAGATATAAAAATTTAGATATTTCAATCATATCAATAGTTTATCGGTTAATTTCATCTTTAGCACTACTTTTAGTATTCATGATACAAACAAAAGGATATGGTAAGTAAAAATTGTATAATATGTAATTAGGATCATGAATGATGATCCATATTGAAGTATACTATATATATTTTTTGTAGTATATATACTTATCATTTTAGACTGTTACTATGTTATGATACTGAATTGATTGTTTAATATGATCCTGTAGGTTATACATTTATTGATTATTATTTGATTAATGGAATGAATATTAAGTATGATCATTTGTATTCATTTACACCAACGACAAACCTGTTCGGTGAATTTATAAAATACAGTCATAATTGATTTTTAATGTACTAGATATAGTGGTTCTTTTAATTATCCAAAATAGCTTAGATGACAGATTACTTACTTACTCCAGTTACTCCTCGTCGAGGAGCATAGGCTATCCACTTGCAATATCCATCCAATTTTGTCTTGGGAAATTCTTTCCAGTTGCTATTCATCCTTTTCATGTCTGTTTTTCAATTCCTGACACATTATGTTCGTTGACTTTCTTCTTTTTCGCTTACCTTCAGGATTTCAAGTTAGCTCTTGCCTCATGATACAGTTTGATGATTTCCGTAATGTATATCCTATCCACTTCCAATATCTTTTCCTAATTTCCTCCTGAACTGGAAGCTGGTTTGAAATAACAGATTACAACGTCTATATTAGTTATTTCAACATAGAAAAGTATTGTACAACTCTATCATAATTAAATCAATGATTCGATCTTTGTTTACTGATTAGAGGTCGAATGAAATATTTATTAATTTCACATACAATAACTATATACTATGAATATGATTTATTAGTTAAAATAAAAGTATAATGATAAACTATTGAAGTACAAGTACATATTAAATAATAAATCTTGATAACTGTCTATCGTAGTATAATTTAACTCGATCAAAATCCCTTGTTTAATAACATTATACTAATTTCTATGGTTGAATTCATGAGCTAATTGAAGCTAGACCACCATAGAAACACTTGACGGCTGTTTCGTCCTATTGTAGGACTCCTCAACAATGCCCATCCACGATCCCGTCTCGTGAAATTCCAACCCAGGACTTATCAGTCCCGTGCACGAGCGCTTAACCACTAGACCACTGAGCCGGTCAGTATCCAACAATGTTAATGTCTAACTTATCCATGAAATTGAATAACACATCCACCATTATCATCAATGAATTACTATCTCACAACAGACTCACTTGAACTTCATTGGTTACTGTTTATATATTATATTGGTAAACCTTAATAATGATAACATTATTTTAATAGATTTCACATTGTTAAAAAAATAAATTATTCAAACTAATTTACAAACAAATAATAATTGAATTTCATTCTGACTTATTACAGAATGGTAAGTGTAACTACCCAGTAATTATTGATCTGGTACAATGTATCATGAATGTACTATTGAGTATTTCTTTTCTTAATAATTGGTTTTATTTGATAGATTCAAAGGTTTTAATGGTTAATTGAGCATGATATAATACATAATTTCTCTCTTGTTAATCTTATATATGTATATATGACATAGTACTTAATATTTTTAACTGTTTAGACTTATATCACGTGAGTTTTTGTTCTTTTATAAATTACTATACCATAAAGTTAGATATCATCATAAGTATATGTAAAGATTTATTTTAATCGAATTAACACTACACTGAATTGTTTGCTAAATATAATTTAAATGGTTAAGATCATGAGTCAGTTGAAGCTAGACCAGCATGGGAAACCTGAAAGCACTGGACGGCCATCTCGTCCTATTGTGGGACTCCTCAACAGTGCGCATCTACGACCTCGCCCGCCCCCGCGGGATTCGAACGCAGGACCTACTAGTTTCACGCGCGAGCACTTCACCAATAGACCACTGAGCCGGCTGGTATCAGACGGTGTTAATGTCTAACTTCAACTAATCCATGAAACTGACAGACACATCCACCATTGTCATCAGCGTGTTACTATCTCACAACAGACCCGGTTGAACTCCACAAGTCACTACTTCTCACTAGAACTCCAGGATATACCTCTTGAAGCCAGTCACTAGTGAGCATATGTTGATTATTATCAGAAGGGGTTTTGTAGAGATTGTAGTAATTTCAATGGTTAAGATCATGAGTCAGTTGAAGCTAGACCATGAAGCTAGATCATGATTTTAACTATTGAAATTACTACAATCTCCACAAAACCCCTTCTGAAAATCTAATTTATTTTGTTAGAATTATATAATGTCCAGAGACAAGTAATTCAATTACTTACTTATGCCTGTTACTCCTGGTCGAGAAGCATAAGCCGTCTATTCAACTCTGTCCTACGTAATCCTTTCCAACTCTTTCCAGTTGTTATTCATCCTTTTCATATCTACTTTTATTTCCCAATATAATGTGTTCTTTAGCAATCCTCTTTTCTGTTTCCATTCAGCATTCTAATTTAGGGATTGTTTTATAATGCAGTTTGATGATTTCTGTAATGTATGTCCTATCCATTTCCAACGTGTTTTCCATGCAAAATACTCAGTATACTCTTTTTTTAAGAATCTCATTATCTATCTAGTTACATATTTTTTCTGTGATTTTATTTTCGATTATTTTTTTTGTTTGAATTTTTAGTTGCGTATAATAATGGAGTTCTAATACAAGGTTTGAAGTTCACTAAACCATGTCCAGAACGTGGCTATAATTTTAATGAACGTAAGTTAGAAATTGAAAGTTTAATATAACTGATTTTAATTATAAATTAAAATGAAACTAAATCTGAAAATTAAATAAGCTGAAAGTCAACAGAATTGTTTTATTATCCATAAAACTAGATACTTATTTGAGAAAAGATGGATAGTGATTAGTAGTGGAATCCAGGACGCGCATTTCGTCCTATTTGGGATTCGTCAGCTGGATGTACCAGCATCTGTTTATTTGAACACAAAAATTTTGGAATAGAGAGGCACCGAATACATATGCACCACACAGTTCACTTGATTTGTATATGGTCTATGATACTGCACGGATACTCAAACCGAAACAGGTAGTTTTCTTATGGGGGCCACACCCCGAGCTTTGGATCTAGAGGTTTGATCCACAAGGAGGTGGAGAAACGTTAGGAGATGCAGTTCCATGGTAGCTGGTGACCAATAATTGGTTCATACTCCATTTGTTCATTCAGGATCCTGGAGCTAGACTATGTGCAAGATTGGTTTGGAATCAGAGTTTTCTAAATCCCCTTGGTGGATTCTTTGTTTTCACCAACCCGGTTAAAGCTCTGGACATTCGGTTTTCGTCCTCTCAATTTCGTAAACAACAGTAATGTTGCGAGAAGGTAGTGAGTAGGACTTCCCTGACAGTGGTTTTATGCACATGGCCATGTGAGAGCGTTTCGAGAGGGAAATCTGACTCTCCCCAGTCTTGGCCGCACCAGGACATTTGGGGGCAAACCAAACATGAAGCGCATTGACTTTCATTATAACATTGACATTATTCAAAGTATTCATATTAACCAGTGAAATATCTTGAGATACAATATTTTGATAAACAAAATCAACGAATTGTTTACGAAGAACACGTGTCGATGTGAATATTCTATCATTTTTGAATGAAACCATTGTTGTATACCTTTTCTAAAATAGGCTTAGTTTATTCATTTTACGATCATCATAACATATGTTTGTTGTCAATTGCTTCCTGAATGTTAGTCATCATTTCGGTGCTCAGATTACACAAAATGTATAGAAAACAGTGACTTTTTTAAATTCAAGCTAGTTTTCACTCACCTTTATTGTGTTATGCTAACTGATCACTATTCATTGATGGAGTTCTAGAAATTGTGAGATTTTCTGTTTTTTCTTTATAACCAACTAGATGTAATTATGAGAAAAGTGAGTTTTATCTATCGTTGTATATGCCAGTTTTTCAAAGGAACCTCAAATATGTAAAACATTAGTCAGACTGACAATAGTACGTATATTTAAGTTTTATTCACTCTTATTATTGATTTATAAAATGCATTAAAGCATTCCTGAATGTCCTGTTACGGCCGAGAGTGGGGAGAGTCAGCTTCCCCTCTTGAAATGCTCTCATATGATCATGTGCATACAACCACTGTCAGGGAAGTCCTACTCACTATCTCGCGTCTGAGTGTTGTTTACGAAATTAAGAGGACGAAAAATGAATGTCCGGTGCTTTAATCGAGCTGGTGGATATGGATAGTTCACCTAGGGGATTTAGAAAACCCTGACTCCAAACCTATGATGCACATAGGCTGGCTCCAAGATCCTGAGGGAACAACTGGAATATGAACCAAGCGTTGGTCACCAACTACCATGGAACTGCATCCAACGGTGTTAATGTTTAACTTCAACCAATCCACGAAATTGAGCGGCACATCCACCATTGTCATCAATGAGTTAGTATATCACAACAGACCTGGTATTTCCTGGAGTTCTAGTGAGAAGCAGTGACCAGTGGAGTCCAACCATGTTCAGTAGTTAAGCGCTCGCACGCGAAACGGGACCATGGGTGCGCACTGCTGAAGAGTTTCACAATGGGACCGAACGGCTGTCCAGTGTTTCCAAGTTTTCCATGGTGATTTCTCTTCAACTGACTCATGCTCTCAATCATTGAAAATTCTGTGAAGTGACATGTTTTTTTTTTCACAAGTTCATATATCATCCAAACAACAGTTTGACAAAATAAACGAGTAATGAATACTATTGTAATCGAATTTATAGCTTTCAAACTAAAACTCATTAGATGAATTGTATTATTTTGTTCAATTATTTACATATATATTACTAACTAGCAATCAGTTTTATACGTCAGTACTATTTATAAACCTTTAATATGCTTTATAATACACTATTATATATTACAGTATGAAATAGCATTCAAGAGACTAGGTTATTGTTATATTTTAATTATGATTAACAATGTTAGTCGTAAGAAACATAGTTCCAACAATGATGAAACTACATCCTATTCCTATTATACTGAATATTATAATAAGGCAATACAAATTGCCATCTAATAATTTATTATTTCTAATGTATATTCACTAAATAACATCAGTTTATAGTAATAAAAAAAATAGTTCACCTTGAAATGTCCCAGTTATTCCCGTCCAATTAACCTTAATTTCTTTGTAATGACTCGATAAAGTGGCGTGATCATGTCTTCTAATATATATATATATATATATATATATATACATATATAGTAAAATAATGTGGTATTTGTGTACACATATATACACATAATAGAATTAACTACACTAAAGTATTTCCATCCAACTTTGGTAACCTAAAAATGTATATATAAACATATATTCAAGTATTTATACATTAAACCCTAAGACACACCCTTTATTATTCTATGCACATAGATAATGGATATATATGAACTGATAAAATGACACCATATATATGATTTATTATCATTATAAAGTCAAAGTTCATTCTTCTAATCTGACTAGACTGAACTTCTTTTAAATATAAACAGATTCATACTACTAAACTGGTATTCAACAATGTTAATGTTTAAGTTCAATCAATACATGATCTTGTGAAACCATTCATCTAGTGTCTGAGATAGATATCTGTTTCTATCTGACATGGATTGAACTCCACTGACCATAGCTTCTCATTTTCACTCTAGGAAATCCATTTTGAAGCTTACATCGACTCATGAATTCGACTATTTAAATTATTACAATTTCAACAAATATCACTCTAATAATACTCATCATTTACTCACTAATGACTGGCTTCGAGATGGGTTTCTTGGAGTTCAAGTGAGAAGCTATGACCAGTGGAGTCCAATCCGTGTCGGGTATAGACAAATATCTACCTCAGACAATGGATGAATGGTTGGGAAAGATCATGGATTGATGTAAGTTAGATATTAACACCGTTGAATGTCATCTCTCTGGTCTACAGGTTAAGCGTTCGCGTGCGAGACTGAAAGTCCTTGGTTCGAGTCCCTTTGTTGCAGGATCGTAGACGCACATTGCTGAGTAGTCTCGTACTAGGATGAAACTGCCGTCCAGTACACCCAAGTTTCCAATGATAAACTCATGAATTCAACTATTAAAAATCACTACAATCTCCACAAACTACCATTTTAATTTAAATAAGTAATTGATTTATTCAATATTGTGATATTAATTCTATTGGAAACGTAGTTGAGTAGGTCAGTTATGATAAATTGTCGATATGAATATGTGAACTTGGTTGTCGGTATAATTATCTGTTTACAAGCTCCAGATAATGAGTTATTCTGTTTATTGTGTGAAGATAACCACCAAACGTTTCCAGTGTTTAGTGAAACTGAGATATGTAATATTTTCGAGCAATTTTCCATTGATTCAACGTGTCGGTATTGCATTAAATGGAGTAACTTATTTTCACTGAACAATTCATTTCAATAATCTGTATGTGAATATGTCTTCTGTGAACACACTACTGTAACGAATTCTAACATGTCGGATAAGAAACAAAACAAACGAACAAATAAGATGAGAGTAAGAGTTTGGTAAGAAATTCTCACTGAAAACTATGTTCGTATATGTGATATGAATTCATTGAATGAATGAAAAAATGCTAGATATTGCATATATATTAAAGGTTGAGAAGTGGATGTGGTAGCTGTTTGAATTCATCTTTAGTTAAATCAGATATGCTTTTGATATAAAAAAGTGCCTGGAGTTTATATTCCTCAAATCCTTCACTGCTTCATTAGAAAGACAGTTTAATTCCGGTTCAACTGTAAGTATAATATTGAACGGTCATAATCATGGTCTATCTCCTTTATAATTAGGACCTTTTTTAAGCATAGACTTATCATGGATACTTAGATTTCTATCTGATAAATTCATTATCATTTTTGTTAAGATTTATCTACAGTCTGTTAAATTTTAAGGTTTTATATGTGTTGGAAATTTTTCTCAAAGCTTCTAACCTGGCGTTGTTTTGAAGAGAGATAATGAATCCTTAGAATTATCTTGAACGTCTTAGTATCTTCAATATACTACTCACTACATTATAACAAGATTAATTTATACCATTTTATGTTGTAAGCTTTCAGGAAAATGTACAAATTACAACAAAGATTTTTGATTTTGTAAGATAAAAGTTATAGTAATTTAGTAGCTAAATTCATGAATCAATTGAAGCTAGACCATCATGTAAAACTTAGAAGCACTGAACGGCCGTTTCATCCTAGTATAGGACTCCTCAGCAGTGCAAATCTACGATCTCGCCTCGAGAGATTCGAACCTAGAACCTATCGGTCTCTCTGATTATAACAGTTGTGTTTATTCACTTCACTTGGTGTTGTTTTACTTATATTTTCCCATTGTTAATTAAGACTACAATTGATCAGTCTCATGTTGGCATATATTCATCCTGTGCGGATTACCTCCATATAGCCTCAAGTCACAAGCTTTATAAGTAAAGATGGATAGTGGCTAGCGGTAGAATCCAGTTTGACGCGTGTTTCGTCCTATTTGAGACTCGTCAACTGAATGCACCCATTGCAAAAGCAGTAGCTAAGTGAAGAACACGATGGTGTTTGAAGCGGATGGTACTAGGTTCGAGTCCCATAGTGAACATCAACTCAGATGCAGGTACATTCGGATGACGAGTCCCAAAGAGGACGAAACCCACGTCCTGGATTCTATGGTTAGCCGTTATCCACCTTTTATATTTATTCACGTTTCTAATGTTATTTCCAGTATATTTTAATAGTCATTTTCACTTTATCAAGATTTTAATTTGTTACATCGTTTTAGTCACGAGTGAATCAAATTATCATCATCTATGATTAACTATCAGGTCATATTTAAGCAAAATCGACCCTATATATATATATATATATATATATATATATATATATATATATATATATATATATATATATCAAGGCCATTCAATACTGGTCCTTGTAATAGTGTCTACATAACAAATGATGAATATAATGGGACAATAGAATACTTTGATATAAACGTAAAATTTGTTTATTGAATGAAATAATCGTACGATAATGCAATCACATGATAAAAAGTAATCAAGAATCAACTTAATCTGTATAGTAGATTGAGCCATATTGAAGTCTAGCCTTAAATTACAGTAATGAATAGGTGTATCACATTATTTCAAAGTAGAGTAATGAAATATAGAGCAAGATAATAATAAGAATAAGAATGCAATCAATCAATATATTTGCATGACTTATTTGAACTATCTCAAAACAAATATCTTCTACGGTTACATGTTTAATATGTAAACATACATAAATAGTATCAGAGGTGTATGAATTCAGTGCACTTATGATTGAGATTATGAACTAATTGATTTTGGACCACCATTGAAAACCTGGAAGCAATGGACAACCGTTTCGTTCTATTGTAATACTCACTCGAGGGATTCGAACCCAGAACCTTCAGTCTCGCACATAAACGCCTAATCTCTAGACCACTGAGTCGGTATTCAACGATGTTAATGTCTATCCTCAACCAATCCACGAAATTGAGGATACTTCATGTCATTAATTACAATTCTTTAGTGAACTATTGAATTATTTTTTTCTAACTGATTTCTGTAGGTGAATTATATAACAAGTTGATAATTATGTATTCCAATAGTTGAGATCATGAGTCAATTGAAGTTAGACCACCACGGGAAACCTAGAAGCACTGGACGGGCTGTTTCGTCCTACTGTGGAACTCCTAAGCAGTGCGCATCCACAATCTCGTCTTGCAAGATTTAAACCATGGACCTATCAATTTCGGGTGAAAGCGCTTAACCACTAGACCACTGCGCCGGTATCCAATGGTTTTAAAGGATTAAAATTTAACCATTTAATACTAATTATCTATTCGTTAATACTGATTTATATAATAAATTGAATATTGAATTCTATGATTAATTTTCAAATTAAATATTTTTTTGTGAAAACATTTTTTTTTTCTTATTTATTTTACTTTTTTTTGTTTATCTTTCTTTTATAATTAGCTACTGGAAATTTTATGTGTGTAGTACCAACACCAAAAGAATGTTTTAATTTATGCCAAAATACAGGTTGTACAGAATGGAATCATATGAATTTAATTCCATCAGGAAGTGAAGAAATTAAAAAATATCATCGTTGTCGATGTTTTCCTGAGTATAATATGTGTTTTTATAATTATGTACCTAAAATACATCGTAATTTTGATTGATTGTATTCTTCTCTCTCTCTCTCCACTCCCCCTCTCTTTCTTCCTCCCTCCCTCCTTCCCCCTCTCTACCTCGCTCCCTCTCCTCTCCCCTCTCTCTCTATATATATATATAACTTCAGATATTCATTTAATGAAACATATCCACATGGCTCATACACGAATTAAAGACTAACACAAACTTGTATAATAACTATTCGATGCTCAAAAATGTACAATAATATTTTCTTCTTTTTTTTCTTTTTTGTTTTGTTTTGAACTCAGGTCAGTTTTTGTTTATATAGATATATACTACTTATTATTCATATTTATTTCGTTATATAACACATAAACTACTTATAAATAAATGTGAGTTAATAACATAAATTTAAAGTAAATTCACTTGGTATTGTTTACTTGAATCTTTCCATTGTTATTTAAGACTGCAATTGATTAGTCTCTTATTGGTTTATGTGCATACTGTGAGTATTGCCTTGATATTACCTTAATTCATAAGCATTATAAGCAAAGATGGTTGGTGGCTAGCAATAGAATCCAGGACGTGGGTTTCGTCTTATTTAGGACTCGTCAGTTAGATGTACCTGCATCTCAGTGTTGATGTTCACTCTGGGATTCAAACTCAGTACCATTCACTTTAAACGCCGTTGTGTTATCCACCTAGCTACTGAGTCCTGATAACCAAACTGTTTTATTTATTTGATGTGTGTTTATAGTTTCGTTTGTATAGAACTCAAAGGATAACCTTTTAATGTCTTACTAGGCTAAATGGATCTTTATTGGGATAACGTGACATAGTATTGCGTTGGCTTAAGCTATTATGTCTTATACCACTTGATTTTATTCTGAATTATATCTCAAGAGCTACGATTAATACTTCATGGATATTCATTATAAAGAATGTGAGAGATTCTCCGACTGTGATCATGTAATGTTAATCAGCAGATGATTGGTTAGGTAGAATACACAGTATACAACAGTATGCATCGTATATATCACCTGTGCCATAAGTAGAGTATATCATTTGTTCTTATAACACCAGAGGACATAAAGACTCAATGAGCTGATCTACTTTGCTCCATGATCACAAACAAGGGACTGCTATAAACTACCATCGGAGCATCCTGCACCTGAAGAGTGAGAAAAATTCCAGATTATCAGTTTCCTTTAGGTACATTTCTATAGCTTTCCTGAAGAATGAGAGTATTTTTGAGGCACTACTGATTAAGAAATCAATGAGTATAAGACAGTAAGTATCTGGTGACATCGACCAAGGTGACTTGAGTTTTTTTGGAGTACACTACATAAAAAAGTGATTCCTAAGGACTGATACAAGGTTATTACATGAAACATGTGTCTACTGAGCAATGTAAAGTATTTGATATTTTATATCTACTTACAAAATATAAGTAACATAAAATATCATTCGGAAAGACTGATGGAAGGTGGTGGTGAAAATGTTGTTAAAAAAGGATAGTATGAAAAGCTTATTTGTTTTGATAAAGTTCCTATCAGGAACATTATGTAGTAAGAGCTCGTTTGTTTTCCTTTCATCCACATTAGCACTTTAACTCCATTATGTATTTAATGATGCATTGGATAGTAATTGCACATAGGTTTTAGGAACTGTGTATGATTTTCAAGAATTTCGCTTACATGATTCTCAGAACGTTGTTCCATGAAATCGTTTGAAGAGTTAATGTGAAAATTATAACGTTAATCTACGAGTGATACGAAAAACAAATTGACTTTCTCTCGAATGAATGTATTATTATAGCAGAGATATAAAAAGAATTAAAAGCCTTGAGAAACTCAAGAACATTTAAAACCAGTTATGCCTGTTACCCCTTAAGTGAGCAAGAACACAATTGGGGACAATCAAATGTAATTGAATACAAAATAACAGATTATCTTAGTAAAATCTGAGAACCATACAGTAAATACTTCGTTTGCAAAATGTCAATCATTTGTTTCAGACTTCGTTGTTCTTTCGTTTCCAGGCCAATCATTCTTTGTTCTCGTTCTGTTTTCTTTGAACTTCTTAACCTTCTGCCTCCAGGCACTTCACTTTCGATTGATGACACATATTACCTATATCTGTCGACATCAGTAGCCCACATCATACCGCTTGTGGAGGAGTATAGGCCGCCCAAGAGATATTCTCCATCCAACTCTGTACTGGGCAATCTTTTCCAGTTCTTTCCAGTTGCAATTCATCCTCTTCATGTCTACTTCCAATTTCCGATGTAATGTTGTTCTTTGGTCTTCCGCATTTTCTTTTCCCTTCCGGACTCCATGTAAGCTTTTGCCTCGTGATTCACTTTGGTGATTTCGGTAATGTGATCCATCAACATCCAGCATCTTTTCCTAATCTTCTATTCAGCTGGAAGCTGGTTTTTTCTTTCCTACATTAGGTTGTTGCTTATGGTGTCTAGCCAACGGATCTGGAGTATCTTTCATGGAAAATTATTTATAAATACCTCTACTTTCTTGATGATGATTATGGTAGTTCTCTAAGTTTCAGCTTTGTACAACAGTACCGTCTTGACGTTCACATTGAAGATTCTGACTTGGGTATTGACTGACAGTTGTTTTGAGTTCCATATGTGCTTCAATTGTGGGAATGTTACCCTAGTTTTGCCAATTCTCCCTTTTAAATCTGCATCAGATCCTTCTTTTTTTTATCAATGACGCTGCTCAAGTACAGCAATTTTCCACCTCTGCCAGAGTTCTTTATCAAGTGTGATTTGATTGACACTTGCTGGATTGTATCTGAGGATTTTTCTTTTTCTCTTGTGTATATTGAGACTTACTGATGCGGAGGCTGCTGCTACCCTAGCTATCTTCATCCGTATTTGTTGCTGTGTATGGGATAGAAGAGCTAGGTCATCTGAGAAGTTTAAGCCGTTCAACTGCTTTCAAGCTATGCTTTCCTTAAGATGTTGAGAACTTCATAATCCAGTCAACCATCGGGACAAAGATGAGGGTCGAAAGTAAGCGGCCTTTGTCTGACACCGGTATTCACTCGGAATGCATCTGTCAGCCGTCCTCCATCCACGACATTGCAGGGTAGTCCGTCGTATGAACTCCGTATGATGTTGACGATATTTCCGGGTATGCCACATCGTCATGGAAAGTTCCCCAATGTTCCTCTGTCCACGCTGTCGAAAGTTTTCATATAGTCAAGGAAGTTGATGTATAGTAAAGAGTTCCATTCAATTGATTGTTCAATGATGAGCTGTAGTTTTGCGATTCGGTCTGTGGACAACAGATCCTAACAGGATCCAGGCTGTCCATCTCGAAGTCGGGTGTCTACTGAATCTTTCATTTGATTCAATAACACTATTGAACACTTTTTCTGGTACTGATAGTAGTGTGATGCCTCTGTAGTTCTCACACTTGCTCAGATCTCCTTTCTTGTGTATTTTGACGAGCTATCCGTGCTTCCAGTTCATCGATACTCCTTCTTCCCCCCAAATCCTGAGTGAAATGTGCAGCATCTTTGAAGTTACCTCTGTGTCTGACCTGTGTTCTTCAGCTGGTATGTTGTATGTTCCTGTTGGTTTCTCACTCTTGATGTATCTGATGGCCATGCTAACCTCTTCGAAAGTGGGTGGGGTGACATCTGTGGGAAGGTCTGTGTGTGTTGCTTCAATGTCTGGTGGGTTCAGCGTGGCTGATCTATTCAGGAATTCTTCAGTGTTGTATCCACATGTTTCACTGTTCTTGAATCTCAGTGACTGGTTTGCCTTCTTTGTCCTTGGCTGGTCTCTCTGGTGTACTATATTCCCCTGCTAGTTTCTTTGTTGTGTTATTTTCGTTATTTCTAGATTTTTTTCGTATTCCAATTGTCGACTCTAATGCTCCTCTTCACTCGCTTGTTTGCTTCTGTGTATTTGGCCTGTGCCTTGGCATCCCCTGCTCTTGTTCGACTGTTGTTAATTGCAGTCTTGTTGTCTTTCCTTTCTTGAATCCTTGCCAGGGTATCTATAGAGGTTCATTCCTTATGATGATGCTTCTTGTGGCCCAGCACCTCCTTCCATGTTGAGGTTAGTGATTCTCTAATCCCTTTCCAGTCGTTCATCATAGTAGCTTCCAATTCTCTAAGTAGATCTTGTAAGGCTTGGAACCTGTTGCTGAGTGCGATCTTGAATTCATTGAGTTTCTCAGTATCTTGAAGGAATGCTGTATAAAATCTTTCTAATTCTGTTTCTCCAGTTGTCCAATGTTTCTTTAGCCCCAGTTCCATCTTGGCAACTACTGGGTGGTGATCTGAGGCTGCGTCAACTCATCTCTTTGTTCTCATATCTTCAACAAATCTGATTTTTTAGCGATGCAAATAATATCCATCTGGTTCTCTGTGGTGTGATCTGGTGAGATCCATGTAGCTTTATGTATGAGTTTGTGGTATGGTATACCAAAGGTTCACAAACATGATGTCACCCTTAGACATATCCTATTAATGATCAGCTCAACGTATCAGTAACCTAGATGTAAGTAGAATAGTTTCTGTGGTATATAAAAGTCTACAAATAGAAATACATAAAGAATAAGTGTCATCTGTATTTCGTCCGATATTTAATCGATCCTATAAACAGTAACAACGAAATTGCTTCTCAAACACATCGTCAACCCCCAAATGTCCTAGTACGATCCAGGGTGGGAAGGGTTAGCTCTGTCTCTTGAAATGCTCTCACATTGCTACTCATATACAACCACTGCCAGGGAAGTCCTACTCACTGCCTTCTCGCGACATTACTGTTATTTACGAAATTGAGAGGACGAAAAGCAAATGTACAGCGCTTCAACCAAGTTTGTGGATGTGAATAATCTTTTGTGGCCCGAGATCTGACTCCAATTACATTGTATGAATGATCGCTATCGCCTATCCTCGTATATAATCATTGACTTGAATCGCGTTAGTTAATAACAGAATTAAATAAGTCAAATAACGAGGATGGACATTTGAATGCATGTGTTTTGTATAATTGTTGATTAGACAAACG